ACTACTACTACTACTACTACTACTACTACTACTACCTAGCAATTTAGCTAAGTCTCAGTAGTTCTGGCACTATTTCTGATGCTAATATTAATCAGAGGTGACGCTGGTTTAAAAGTCAACTTTGGGGCTCATGTCCCCTCGATCTCAACGAAGAATGCAAGTCTGTGTTTAGGTTATTCCAAATAAATGCATGTTTGAGGCTCAGAGCATATCAGCGTTTACCCCGCTTTCCACCCGGTTTCTTCTATTCGCCAAAAACTGTGTCAGTTTCTCCTAAGTTTAGACTGCAAGGACTAGGATCCTGCTGCTAGAAATAATATGCCAAGGCTAGGAATGCTAGTTCTGGCAAGCATACTTACACGTCACAGTAGAGACTATCCCGATAATTCGCACGGCAAAAGTAGCTTATGTAGTCCCACTCATATACCCATAGTCCCAGCATTTTTTCTTACGAAAATGGTGGTTATAGGGTTTTGGGGATTAGGGAAATGGGATAGGCAGAGAACGAGCTCTTCAGAAGTAAGCGTAAACCGAACAAATGAAGTTAAAGTTGTTTCCCGCGGCCGCTGGGAGTAAATTATTCAGCATGTAAATTGAAAGTGTGGGCGGCGCTACGCGCCGCGGACTTTACTAATCTGACTCTGGAACGGTAAGTTGGACCTCAGGTAATTTGAAGTTGGCTACATCCTAACCACCATTTCTATTTTTCGGGAATTTCAAGAAACATGCGATCTGATAATCGGGTATTTCCGCAATATATTAAACGATAATATAGATCAAGAAATTCTACATATATAAATTTGAAAACACTTCTAAATACAATAAAATTAACATGCATATAGCAGTTATTAAAGTATATTCAACTGCACGTCCTAATTCCCCACCCATAAAACCCTATAACCACCGTTTTCGTAGGATAAACTGCTGGGAGTAGGGATTAATGAGGGGGACTACATAAGCTACTGTTGCCATTCACGCTTCATGTCTTATGACTAGTAGGAACCGCAGTGTGTCGTAGGCGACGACAATTTGTGGTTCCAGATAGGTTTTTCAGATATTTTATGATCTTGGTTTAATATGTATCCCTGCTGCTGTTGATGTAGATGCAGTGGTTCAAGGGAAGCGTCTACGGTGCCTTCCGGCGTGACTTCCTAGACTTTGCCCTTCACAGCCCTACAACCCAGTCCCTCCTCGAAATCCTCTTCTCAGACAGGGAGATTGAAAACCCGGATGAACTCTTCTTCCAGACAGTAGCCTTTAACGCCCCCTTTCACGCGCCTGGCGCCTGCCTCTACACTCCTCTGATCTCGGAGGTGGCTGAGGGCTATCCGGGAAGGTTCGTTGTTTGGGAGCAAACGCGGTCCTTCTGTCCTACAAAGTATGTTCGTGATGTTTGCATCCTCGGTAGCCCACATGTGCCGGAAATGCGCCGAACGTTTCACCTCTTTGCCAACAAGATGCATGCCGACTACTACCCCGAGGCCTACGACTGCATGGAACAGTGGTATTTTAGCCGCCTTCAGCGGGAATGGACCCTGGGTCATGTCGACTGGGAGGCCTTCCAGCCGTGGGCTTATAAACTGCTGACCTGCTCTCGGTACCATCTGCCCTAAATTGGCTTCTTGCTTGACCTGCGAATAAAATGTTTCTGCTTTTTGAAACGATTTTTGTATTCCACTTTACTAACCCGGAT